ACATCTACCTCTAATTTAGATACAGACTGCTTGTAAGCAAGAAGGGTACTGTATTATGCCCTCAAGGCAGTTAGTGGCAAGGACAAGATTTGCCTCCTGTTCTCAGGTGCTTTGTGTCAAACAGTAGTTCCTATGGCAAACTGCTTTATGGCCCCCATAGAGCACAGATTTAAGGTTTTGTAATTGCTAAGAGTCACCCTAGACCTGCAAATACTGTAGAGTCTCGCGTATCCAAAGCCTATTAAATATCAATTTATGTATTGATTTATTTATTTACCTTATTTATAACCCACTTTTGTCTATCCTGAGGGGGACTCAAGGCAGCTTACAATCGCAATCTCCATGGTGCCTTAAAACCTACCTCATTTATTTATTAACTACATTTCTATACCACTTTTCTCATCCCGGGGTACTCAAAGTGGTTTACAACATAATAAATGGCAAAATCAGTGCTTCACACATATATAAAAATAAATATAAAAATATCACGTATCTAAATCAATAACATATAACTGTAGATTAAAACCATCACAACTATAAAAACATCAGACATAGACATAAGCATGAAACATATTACTGCTGCAATTAACAACATAGACCCCCCTTCTCTCACCCCCCCCCCCACTTCCCATCTCTCTCTCTCCATAGTGTTTCAACCCTTCTTTTCATACCCTCCTTGCTTCCCCTCATCCCACAAGACACAAAGTTCTTTAGGTAATACTGAATACAGAATAAGGGAGGTTAGAAAATGTCCTGGGCCTTTTGGGGGGGATGGTAAATGTGATATGAGGTCCTTGAGGGGGGTGGAAGGAGAGTCTTATCTGATGCTGCTAAAAGTCCAGAGGAACATATATTTTATCAGTTGTGGTGTCATAATTCAAGTGTGAGCTATCACTTGTCAGTAGACTGAAGATGGTGGTGGTGGGAGGGGTGTGTGGAGACAGCGTGGTGTAGCTGCTACCAAGAAAAGTTGGTCTGTACCTTCCACCCTGGAGAAGCCGAAGTCTCCTGCCCTCCTTTTCACTATACTGGCCGTGCCCAGTATGTTTGGGCAGAAGTTCTAAAGTAGAGTTCTCACCCTCTGGTTGCATCTGCTGCCCAGTATAATTAAGCATAATAAGCATAATAAAAATACATTTCAATGAATTACATTATGATTTTACAAAATAAGCACCAAAACATCATGTTTAACAACAAAT